ATCGTGACCAATTAAAAAGAAGAAGAAAAAAAGTGGAAAATCCGCACCCCTGTGCGCGAACCAGAGATAGAGAGTCCATCGCCATCTTTGTGTGTGTGTGTGTGTGTGTGTGTGTGTGTGAGAGAGAGAGAGAGAGAGAGAGAGAGAGAGAGAGAGGGAGAGATGAGTCCATCAACTTCTTGGCAAACATTCCATTTTTATTGCGGGCGTAGCCACAACAGGTCCCCTAGTTACTACAGTCATCACTTGGGCTCCTTGTACTCCATGCTGCATGCCGAGAACGTCCCATGACTGATGGTGTGCGCCCCTCACCCTGCGAACTGCGAAGCTATCGTGAATCACTGAAGTCACTCACTTATAACAAAATTCGATCTGGAAAACAAATGAGGGGTTTATCTGTGTGTTCGATTTGCTTTGCTAGTCTGATGAGTGGAATGTGAGCTGTAATATCCCAAGCTGGAGGGTGAGGGGGTGTGATGTCAAAATCGAGGCAAAGGTGCGGTATCTGATAAGGTGGGTGGTGCAGTGTCTGCTCTGGGTGGGTAGTTGAGGTTTGGCAAGCCATGGGTGGCTGGAGGTGGGTGAGGAGATCATTTTATCCGAAGGGATGCAGAGGGGGCATGGCACGACGCGAGGGAGCCCCAGGAGGCTGTGATGCTCATCGAGAAGGGGGCCTGGTTGCAGTGTCCTGCATGTGAGACATTTTAGGGTGCTGTTTTACAAGGCAGTGAGGGGTAATATGTGGATGACGAGCACAAGGTGAAAGTGGAGAATGATGAAGTAGAAAATCGGAGGAAGCAAGGAACCCGTAGCCGCGCCTGTAGTCTCAGTGGACATGTTTTGGTGATGGTGACAAAGTGCAGAAGCTCACGATAGTTCAATCCAGCCTTAAGACGCAATTCAATTCACATGCAAAGTGCTTTGCAGGATCCTGAGTTAGTGATGCCTCCCCCTTCACCTGGCAGCAATGTTCCAGTGGCTGTGTCCTGGACTCACCAATACGCAGGAAAGTTGGATAGCCCTGCCTTTCGCTTGTATCTGCCCCCCCCCCCCCCCCCTAAAGCTTCCCCCTTCTCTTCTGCTTTCTTTGTAAAGGAGTGCAAGTCTCCATGGGTGGACTGGACATCTCTCCCCACAACCTTCAATGGGTACCTACCACCTTAAAACTTGTTATTATCGCTCTACCATAGAAGCGAATGGATGCAATCCTGCAAGCTTGTGAGAGTACGGTAAGAATGAGTGTTGATTTTTTGCGCTTTGTTTCCCTTGATGGTGGTTATCAGCTGGAAAATGGACAATTGGTGACTGTTCCTCCGTACGTGATCAAGCGGATTAAGCAGCACTTCCAATCGCTTGAGGAGTGTGGAGTGGACGTTATCCTCGGTTGCAATGGCTATGTGTGGGTCTCGGCCCCGGCTGGACGTCCCGTCTTGGAAGGACTTGCTGGTGTAATGAAACAGACAGCTCAGACGGGTGTGGTTGAGCCACTTGAGCAGGGAGGAGGAGCAGATGGACAAGCTGCGGTGCGGAAAAGAGAGAATGTTCTGTTGCAGGTCAGGGAATGTATATGTCGTGTCGCGAATGCGATTCTCGTCCTTGGGTTCCTAGGCTTGCCCATTCATCCACACTCAATTACCGATACCTTCCTGATCAGCCGGACCTGGGGTATTGAAATTAAAGACATGCTGTCGCCGGATTTCATATTGAGGTTGGCCGAAAGGGAAGCCGATAGAAGAGAGCAGGAAGGTGTTGGCGGTGCATCAAATATGATGATGTGAAAAATGTGTGGGTGTGAAGTGCCTTACTTAGCCGTAAGAGCAAAAGAAGTACGTCCTTGTCGGACCGTACGACCAGCCGCCGGTTCACCTGTAGACTGTGTAGCATTGTTCGTACGCCAGATATAGGGTTGTTCCTACGCCAGTTGTTCATCTGATGTGAAATTAAAGATGCTGATGCCAGATTCCATACCGAGGTTGGCTGAAAGAAATGCAGATAGAAGAGAGCACGAAGGTGTTGGCGGTGCATCAAACATGACGCGATGAATGTGTCGGTAACTTGGTAGGTTTGCAGCTGCCAGCCTGATCATGTTTGTTGATTGCCTTGCCAGCCTGATAAGTTTTGTCAATTGCCTTACCTTTGCCGCGACAGAGAAAAGTATGTCCTTGTTTGACTGTATGACCAGCCGTCGGTTCACCTGTATGTATAGGTGTGTAGCGTTGTTCCCACGCCAGTTGTTTGTCTGATTTGTCCCTAGACCAATTGGGGTCTTCGTAGGGGTTCAATGAGCATCAGTTTTCCTGAAAACTGCCAGTCCTTTGAAGCCTCTTTTGAGAAAACAGACCATTGCATGATCTTCTCAGGTGCTGCCAGCCTTTTCCCTCCCGTAGACAGGAACCGCAATTTTCAGTGCGTTAACTGGCGCGTTTGAACTAGGTGCCAGGGAAACAAACTGGTGGTTTAAGATCCGTCAGGACGCAGTGATTGCCAGTAGTTTGTAGGACCAGTTGTGCCTCAGATGTGCAGACACGAGTTGCATCCCGGTCCGGTGAGAGGATCAGTTGTTCCTTGGAATAATTGTATGACCAGAGCTGTAGTTCATATTCGTAGTTGGGAACTGGAAAAGAATCGTGTTCTGGAGTAAGGCTGTTTTGCCTGGATGTAAGTGAATGTTTTCAAGTCCTTTGTATCACCGTCTTTTTTTTTTTTTTTTTTTTNCATTGGGTTCTGATGTTGGTGTGGCCCTTCGGGCTTGGACATTGACTCTCAATTCTGCTGTATCGTTCTCAATGGATGGTTTCTTGGTTCCAATGAGCTATCTGCTCTTTGCTTGACTACATGGACTTCAGGGTGATTTGCAATTTGGATTTTTGTACTTCGTTCACACTCATGTTCCTTGCAGAATCATTGGTTTCTCACCATCTGATCAAGCTTTGTAACTGTCTCTTATACACATCTAGATGTGTATAAGAGACAGCCTTTGAAGAGTTGAACGAGGACATGATCCACGGCTTGTGCAGGCCTTTGTCCCTTCCTTCAAAGTTTTTGCGTTAGCACTGCTGTCTTCAAGTTGAGGGTTTGATCAGAGTACCTCTTGAAGTTGATCCTGGAGGGTCACGTATTAGTTCATTGCTGTCTTGCCTCTGCTTGCCAGTGTAACCCAGCCTGTTTATTGAATTGCTCGGTGCACAAAGGGCCACCTCGGTCACTGGCAGTCATGTTGTGTTTTCCGATCTTGGAAAGGCTTCTTCTCGGTGTATTTCATATTTCCTGGTGTGCATGCAAAACACGAATACACGGATCGTTTTTGTATCTTTGACTGTCTGCATATATCTGGTCACTTTTCATAAAGATATCTGAATCACTATGCATTTGTGTCCAGCCAAGGTGTTGCCTGAACCCTCTTTTCCAGCAAGGTATGTTCAAGCTGTTTGTACCTTCAAGGATAGTGAACACTTCACATTTCCTTTTGTGGCTGTGTAGATTACCTGTGGGGCTTTTTGTCCCCCTCTCAAAAAAAAAAGAAACAAAAAAAAACCTGTGAGGCAGGGTTGCAAACCTGCCGACGGCTGACCCCGACCGCCGACCGTATTGCAGCCGACCAGTAGGGCCAACCAGTCGGCGTTCTGCCGACCAGTCAGAAAACAGCCATCCACTGATTTTTTTAAAGTCTGAGCTGGGGGCTGTACTGCGCTTGCTGAGTACAGCCCAAATCCGCTGAGAAATTTTTGGGGACGAGGGGAGGTATGGGGGAGTACAGGGGGGGGATAAGGGGATATAGAG